ATATATATATATATAATGTTCACAAACTTCTGGGGTATAGCCTGTTGAGCAAGTGCAATACATTTTTAGTTCCTGCTGCGTAATGTCTACGAGCTAAGCATGAAATTATCGACCAGCGAACTTAGTCGCGTTGGTTTATTACTCTGGAAAGATTAAATAGCTCAATCGCGTAGTCACTGGTGTTTCTTTTGTAAAATTACCACCGCTATACACATTTTCTCTACCCATTTAAAAGATAGCGCAGTGGTTGGGACACTAAATTACTGACGTAAAAAGTTCGGCATCTCAACTGTTCCTGTACAGCCTGGCAGTATCGCAGCCCTCGTGGTTCCTTCGAGTGGAATGATGGGTGCGAACCGAAAGGGAGTTACAGTTGAACGACTTTTTGTTATTATATTACTATAGTTTCAAGGTACAAGCCCTATCAACAATACCTACAATGAATGCCCACAAGCGGTCGTTTTTACCAGCAGGAGGAGCTATTTTATTCGGTGCATGGTTTGTGATTAAATGACTAGAACAAAGTGACCCACTCCCGAAGGTTAACTCACGTGACCACTTACACTTTTGAACCACGAATATGGAGCCAGGTGAAGACTATGAGCTCTCAGAGCCGAACGACTGAAACTCCATGCGATGAAAGCTCGCAAAGCCAATCCTCGTAAGGCAATCTATGAAAACATGGTCGATAATTGACTTAAACGGAATGCCATTGGTTACTTTGTTATAAGCTACGGATGAACAAGCACATTTATGTGAACGGCGCGGTGCGTATGTATACCTGACTCGCTCCAAAATGATTGGAGCAAGTAAATGGAACTTAGATGACAATATGCTTGATATTGTGAAGCAGGCAGTTTATGGATTTAACTGAGGGGGGAACTAAACTTTTACCGAAAGAGCATGTGGATAGTGTATGACTCGACTGTAACGATAAAAAAGGATTATCTGGCTTAGCGGTACATAGGCGAGATCGGATTGAATGACCCACATTCTCACGGAAGTGTTGCTTCCTGTAACAACCCCAAAAGTTATATTGGCCAGAATCTTGGGGACTTGCGGTCGAATGTTGCCCAGGAGACCAACGATGAGCATGAAGTCGTCATAACATGAGCGATCACGTGACCATTGTAGGCTATTTAGTCCTCGTTTAGCCCACTTTCACAAGCGGCGTTTTAACGGTTGTTAGACTAACTAATGGTATGCAAGTATCGAAGGATCTTTCTATTCAGAGAAGACGAGGTTTCCTGTTTTTGCAGGTGAGTATCCAGAAACGTTCTGTATGAGGCCATCGTAGGTGAGCCACCACTTGTCTCGACTCACATGACTCGTCAACTGTTTCGTGGTACTGCTAAGCTGCCAATGACGGTTGTTCGTTTCATCCAAGTTTCAGTCTGCTAAATAGGTACCGAAATGCTCACGGTCACTGGTTATGTTCAGGCGTCCTACGGTGCATCAGATCTTCCTGACAGTTCAAGTAACCTGAGTTGAAATTTGCCGAGAGCTTTGCATAGATCATCCAGCTCGCTCATTTTATGGTGTTTCTAAAGACTATGAGGCAGCCTACAATCCTCGGACAAGCCTAAACTGTTTAAATCTTGCAGTCGCCTGGTGGAGCGGCTTGAGTCGCTTCAAATATACAGACACTGTTTGGCTTGTCAAAGGTTGCTTGACATGTACTGTCATCCTCGATAGCAGAAAAAATCAGTTTAAACACTGATGCTCCACTGCCTGCCGAACCGTAATTCATTTGAAAGCCTGGTTGCGCGGAAAGGTGGATAGGGCCTTGCGCTAGCCCACCACAATCATCCCAAGGTGCTTGCACCTACCGAAGACATTCACCCAGACACTCCGGACAGCAACCACACCACTGACGGGAGTAATTTTATCTCCCATTCTCAGCTGCACACATGAAGTGATTGGCTACAACAAATCCTGCAGCGCCACAGGGCGTTACCCGATACGTCGTGTGTTAAACGCACAAAAGCTAGACAGTCAGCTGACAGTTGAAAGAAAACGACACGCGCACCAGCTAAAACTGAAGCAACACATGCGCTGGAAATCAATACCAAACGTACGTGTCAAACAATACTGGTTCTTGGTAGCCAGCCTGAAATTGATCTAAAATTGCTTGCAGTGGATAAAACTAGAACTTGCAGGCGCGGTGGGGATCTGCATACTCGACGCAGCGATAAAAACAGGGGATCGGAAAACCAGCAGTCTTGTTCTGACAAGCAAATACTGTTAAGGATTATCACAAATATTTTCCGTATCAGCAACTGTCTGTTTAATAGATGCTTCAAGGAGAGGATGGCACTAAACCCAGGGAGAGTTCCTGGTGTTTCCGGCTAAGGAATGAAATCACTCGAATGGTGAGATGGGCATCTTGATGCATCACCGACTGCGTACAGATATGTAACACCTGCTCACTTGCTCCATTGGGAAATAGCCGGTCAACTGGTTGAAAAGATACCACCGAAAAGTGAAAACAATCAAGTCTTGTAATGCACTACTCATAAGGTTGCTGAAAACTGTTTCGCTCTTCTTGGGGCTGCTCAGGTAGGCGCAGTCCCCGAGTTTCCGTCAACCCTGTGTTCTGTTTGAAACCAAACTGCACTAAATCAGTAACCTTATGAGTAGCACATTACAAAGATATACATGCATAGCGATATTTCGAATATCGTAGCGACTGAAACATGAGGCGCCCTGGTACAGCACATTCAGTTGCCTGGAAACAAAACCGAGAGATTCAACTCGATTCCAGATGAGTCTCTCAAAAAAAAACAAATTAGTTTGGAAATGAGTGGATTTTGCTGAAAACAATCAAGTTGCACCATGAAAGTTTCGGTGGAATTGTTTAATCTCGAAAATTAGGTGCGGAATACCGGGCCTGCATCGTGTCAGATGGAACTCAACCAACGAACCTTCAAAATCTTGTATTGTTGGCCATAATCTACGGTAACGAGGTGGACTGGGCAACAAACCTAGAATTGTAGGTCACAGTGATAGTGGCCATTTTTTTTTAAAAAAAAGGGCTCGTAGTGAGTCTGGTAACCTCAGAGGGATCACGCTGACCCCGGCCGTAACGGGACTGTTGGCGTCAATTGTGCTTTGTCACCTTATGGTGGCTCGTGAAACACTGATTCGAGAGCAAGAAGCGGGGTTGCGTTGACCAAACCTTCACACTCCGTCAGGTGCTAGAACAGCGCCATACGTACAAGCGACCCACAATTCTAGTATTCCTGGATTTCCAAGGCGTATTCGATTCGGTTGACCGGTCTGTTCTTCTTAACACGCTTGCCCACCGAGGAGTGTTCCGGACGTGTGAGTATAAGGCAAGCGCACCAAAAGCTTCCGTAGACAAAGCGGTGTACGTCAGAGATGTTCACTCTCTCCATTCCTACTTAATTTCGCGATTGATGAAATAATGAGACGAAGGCTGGAAGGTCTCCAAAACCCTGGTGTTTAAATAGACTGTAACGAAAACCTTGTCGATCTGGAATATGCAGACGACATCGTTCTCATCTTCGAATAACAGAATGAACTGACCAAAGTCACCCAGTCCATTGGTCTAAACTTTGCACCCACAAAGTGTAAAGTCAAGCTGACACGCTTAACACGCCTAGTACAATCCAGTGAGAGACACTTAAATTTGTGGAGCGTTTTACCTAACTTGGGAGTTGTATTAGTTCTGACTGCAATGTGACAGATGAGGTTAGTGCACGAACATGCAAGGGTCGGACCACGTTTGCTAATTTGAGACACTTGTAGCGTCGAAGTGATGAATCATGAAGCTCACGGGACGTGTGTATCAAGCTACAGTGCGGGCTATTTTGTTGTATGGCTGTGAGACTTGGCCTGTTCGAGCAGCGAAACTAAGACGTCTTCGACAGCCTTTATCTCAGGACCATAGCTCACGTGGATTGGCTTTGGCGAATCCGTAACGAGGCAAGTAGAAAGTGAGTTTTCAGTCGTGCGACGGGTACTTCAATCGAAGAATGTGTCCAGCACCAAAAGCTGCGTATGCCGAACCACCGTTCGCCGAAGAGGGTGCTGTTTTCCGTGTCTAACTCAGAGTGATGGCCACCCCCTGACGAGGCAGAGGAGATTACAAAACTTTTAGGTGTTGTTGGTGCTATTTGTCTTTCAGGATGGAGACCTCGTGTTCTCCTGCGCTGGAAGATATGGGTGGCAACCGGGGTCAATGGCATTCTCGTTGTCAGTTTCTATCCAGATCACCTGGATGGGTCTCTGAAGGTGTAGGCACCTCGGAATGATTGTGGTAAGCTAGCACTAAGTCCCTTTCACGTCCACCTTTACTCTTTTCTTTACAATAAGGCTTTAAATAAATCATGGTTGTACGGCAGCGAAGCATCGGTGTTGAACACCGACGTCATGCTGTCCACGATGATGATGTAGATCACGCATTTTCGTATCAAAATAAGCAGGACGTTCAGAATGTATTTCAAGTGAATTCGGTTAGTAATGTGGTGGAAATTCCAACTTTTCAAAAGTAGGTGTGTGGAGTGAACTAAGAGAGCAACGCTGTAGACAAACACGAACGCGGAGTGTAAGTAGTGATGAAGCAATACGAGCCACATCAACCACATCGTAGAAACATGAGAAGACCGAATTCCTGGAATCCAAGAAAATGGTCCAGCGGTGGCAACCTTTCAGTCCTTAGCTGCCAAGTCATGCGCAAGCACGAGGGCTAAGGGTTATCCAAGCCTAGAAAGGGTAGTCGAGATGAAGAGATCGGGCTCGGACCAGGGACCTCCCTGTTAGTAAGTTCCTACACTGAGCCGCCTCGAGCTCAATTCCAGAAAAGACCACACGGGAAACCTAACTTGAGCGAACCCGGATAGTCCAGATCCCATCTGACAAGGCATAATCGTCACTAGTGAGTTCAGTGTGCTGAATTCCGATAGATACGTGACCGCGGAATACAGTTCGCAACAGAAGTCTACAGGACCCAGGACCATTTAGGGTGGCATCGGCTATGCGGTTGTTGTTTAAAACCACACCAATAAGTTACCAAAAATAAAACTGCACGTCAAAGTCTTGCTTGGTGTCATTGAACTAGTGATGTGGTTAACTGCACGCCGCAGTAGCTCGGTTTTTCAACGCACAGATGAAACTCAGCTTGTACGATGCCCACTGAAATCGACTCACTGCATCACCGTTCCAGGATAGACAGAAGAATTCAAGTAGCTTGAGAGGGTTATATTACTGAAAAAAGTGACACAAAACGAACTAAGCATACACGTGCTCTGGATGTGGAACAAAGAATGGTGATCACGCGGATAATTGGTATTCACGCATCAGTCAGGTCGAACTACTAAACTCTGAGAACAGCCAACCCGGCAGCAATAATGAGAGACAATGCGGTGACTATTGCTCCCGTTGTATTGCAAGTCTTGATGGGGAAACCGATGGCATAATCCCAGGCCTGAAAACGCAGACGGAAAAATAAAACAATGAGCCGGACTTCGAGAGAGGATATAATGTTGTCACTGTCTAACCCAGAAAACTGACTGTTCAGCTGGTCAAACCCCACGGTCAAAAAGGAAAAGCTTGAGGGCACTGTTCGCCACAGTGGTGAAACATTTCGGACTTAGCCCATTGCACTCGACAGGCATGCACTTTGGGGAACAATGTAAAGGCAAAACGACGATAGATGTCACGTGACACTGCAGGTGATAGAGATGAAGCCTGTTGTCTAAGCAAACCAGGCTCCCGTTTCTCGAAATCAGTAAACTAATGAGCTACTGAATTTCGAAATACATGGTTCTGTCACACAGTTCCGTGTTCAGATGGAACACGTCTGTCTTTCGGCTGATCATCAGAGTGAATCATTCTGAAACCAGCCATATTCTACAAGAGGACTGGACAGCTCTAGAGAGTCATTATGGGTCATCCAAACCTGTCACATGTGGAGCAGCGGCGGTGACAGTTTACAGTAAGGGAAACAACACAACAATCGAAAACAAGTTCGCCCAATCGACCGCTTTTGTGTCCTCACTGTGGAGTTTTTGGGTTATTAGGTAAATGGGACAACCGACCCAAATGTGCCATGTCGCGGGACAACCTATCCCACATACAAAAAACGTACTTGATACTACCAGTGATGTGTCTCAGGTAAGTTCACTCCCTATTATTAGGCACTGTTTATGACTGAGGTTACCACTATGGCTAAGGCCAAGGTTACGTTGGCTCTAGGTGTTACAATTTCAGCCACTGAAAAGTAGAACATGGGAAGCATAGCTAGGCATTGGGGGCGATGGCAAAATCAACTAGTTGATATTGAATCATTCCAGCTATCTCGATAAACGGGGACTGGATAGCTACGTACTGAAGGCGATAGTTTTGACGCAAGAATACCACTGCCTGTATGGTTGGCCCATGTCTACCAGTGTCATTAACCATTGGTAAGTCGAGTCCCGGGACTCCCATCCACGGAAGCGACAGATACCGACCTGAATGAGTTAACTGGCTAGTGTTTTTATACTCCGTTGTCAGGTTATAGAATATCCACTTCTCCGTCACTTCCACTTAGCGAACGACTGAGCGGAGAGCTTTGCGAGGTAGACAGCCCTCTGACAAGCAAGTAAATGTCCTAAACAACTCATCCTGTGAAGCGTGAATAGCTCATACTTTGTGGGATGAGCCGAACCGTCCCGCGTACCTCAGCGACGGTCCCGCCAAACCCAACAAGTGCCTCTAAGACCCCCACAAATCCCTGCATACCACTACGCGCCTACAGGAGTGCCCTTACAAGAGATAAAAGAATTTAGGAGAAATTTGCTCACCATGGCTCGCGTATCACGGCCAAAGCATCGCACCCCATCGGGTTTCTGTTTTCGTCCCAAACCTTATGAAGTGGTGCCTTCGAACTGCTCTTCAGGGCTCCAACACCCTCTTTGAAAGCAAGAGGGTGCACACCATTCGGGCCGTCATTATCATCGTTCTTGACAGCATAACATCACGGACGCTTTGCTGTCGTGTTTATTCGAAAGCAAAGGTTTGTTGAGTTCTTCTAGAGAGTACCAGTTCATTTATTGGTCTGAAGACGGTGACTAAGCACAAGCACTGCTGAATAAACTGACTACGATCAAACCACCTTCTGGCATGCGTAATGCACATTCAAAGTGCTATGAGGTAGAACGCTTAGTCTCTAAACAAGCCCTTCGCAATTCAAGGAGAAGCATCGGCGGTTATGGAGAATACTTTGGTAGCTGAAGTGTCTGATAAAGCTAGTGCACGGATCTCAAAGGCCCGCGTTTCACTTGTGACACAAAAGAGACATCACTGGGCCGCAAGGGTCATGTGTACCAGAGAAGAGTATGGGGTATTGTTTTACGATTGCAAGATTTAACCACTTCAGATGAAGAGCACGGGACACCAAGATTTTGACTACCAATGTTTCAGAAATGGGGTTGGTAATGGTTAGAACCAACGGATTCACAATGAGGTGATCAAGAGGCAGATATATGGTAAAGCAGGCGGTAATTCAGTCAAAGATTTATCCAGTACTGCAAGCTAAGGTAGCTGGGCCATGTGTTACACATGTCGAGTTACAGCCTACAGAGAAAAGAGTTGTTCCCCGTGCCTAATTCGGATTGGTGAAAGCCTAGAGGTGGGTGGAACTCGAGGGAACAATGGATGTTACGAAAAGCTTAGGTGCCATTGGCGCCGTTCGCCTTCAAGGATGATGTACATGTGTTTGGCTTTTACACTGAACGATATGGCAACCAACTGATTTAATTGGCGTTGATGCTGTCTTTTTTCATTCAGGGTGTCTGACTGAGTGTTGGAAGTGTAAGCACCTCGGATATTTGCTGAAGACTGGCCCTAGGTCCATCTCCCTGTCCCATTTTTCCTCTTCATTATAAACCCTTACTGAAAAAGCTGAAGCGCTGGTGTTCTTCACTAGTGTTGATGTCAATGTAGGGCATTGTTCGCAGACTCTGTTCCCGGTCTGTGACTAGAAAGTCTGATCTGCGGGACACTGAGTGGTAGGATTTCCTTTGGGGACCCTGCCCGGAGTCGACGACTCAATATTCTGACCTTCTCGGCTGCAAGGCGTGAAGAATACGCCACAGATGTCTCACTCTGATGCTGTCGCGCACACCGGATGGATTAGGAGTCCTATTGAGCTCATGACAAGGTTTATATGCTTTTCGGCCTTACTGGATAACTCGCCGGCGGTGAAGTTGGGCGATCGGAGTGTGCGGTTTTCACAGCCGACCCTTTGTGACCCTTTTTTCTTCACAGGGAGGCACAATAACTGCTTCCATAAATATTGATACGCCGATCGCCTGAAGGAAACACCTCGCTATCTTCACACTTCCATCACCGAAGAAAGCACGCCTTTACGCCCACACCACCCAATAATACAGTTAATCATAGTACGGGGTCTCGATGCTCTTGATCTGACCACTCCTCTTTGGCATTCGTGGCGTGGTCGCACTTTCAAGAACGAAGTTCTAGCCGGTGTAACTCATGGGATTATTGAGGCACTCAAGCTCGACTAATTCAAAGTGAGAGCATTAGGGCAGGAAGCCGGTCACGAGTTGGTGGTAAGCCTTTTCTCCCATCAGTGAAATCTGTTGATCTTGACGAGAGTATTCAACTGGTTGAGTAAGACGGTTTGGGTAGACAGTCCCCAACCAAAACCTGTCACTTTGACATGGTAGTCGAGTGCTACAATGATTTGCGGGCTACAGTGGCGAGGACTTCGTTCCACACGCTTCTGCCATTCCCCTGGAGGCCAAATGGGGGAGCTCACCACGTCCAGTAGTGTAAGACAGGGCTGTCCCATTTCCCCTTTCCTCTTCAACTTCGTTATTGATATGCTGCCTGAAATTTCTCTGCCCCCATTTGAAACTTCTGGAGTCGAAATGCCCCAGGGATGAACCATCACAGAGATTGAGTATGTAGACGATATTGCTCTCCTTGGTTCAGATCCTTCTCAAATATAAACGATTTTAATCTAACTAACCCTGCCGTACGGCTCGGCATGCGCTTCACACTTGCAAAGTGTAAAGTGCTGCCACAAGACTGGGTGGGATCAAACGCAAACCTCATGTTTGCAACCGAGCCAATCGACATGGTAGATGAATTTGTTTACCTGGACAGCTGTGTAAGTTCCGGTGTACTGACTGGAGATGAGATGATTTCTCAAATCGGAAAGACCAGCGTAGCTTTTTCCAACCTCAACACCTATGGCGCCGACGTGACGTCAGTTTGTCTGTCAAGGGCAGATTTTACAATGCCGTTGTGCGATTCGCACTGCTTTATGGATCGGAAACGTGGTCCCTATGTGCAGACGACATACGGAAGATGTTAGTGTTTGATCATCGGTGTCTCCGAAGCATTGGTCAGGTTTGGTAGAAACATCGGATTCGCAATGTTGAGGTACGCCAGAAGGTCTTAGGAAGAAGGAACTCTCTCGCGCTAGATGAATTACTCGAGATTTATAGGTCACGCTGGTTAGGACACGTACTTCACATGCCGGAAGACCGTCTGCCTCACAGAGCTCATTTCGCCAAGCCTTGTGCTGTCCACCGAGGTGAACGGTGTATGACCTGGCTAAGCACGAAAACACTAACCAGTAAACTTAGTCGGGTCGGCAACTGCCACCTCCCTGGATGAGGACCCTGGGAATCAAATCACCAGTGGTTACTGACATTGGCGTAAATGGCCCAATCACGCAGTCAGTGGCGCTCGTGCATCAAAGCTATCGCCGTCAAGCGTAGCTACCAAATTTCCAAACCAACTGAGCGCGCTATCGCCTCCAAGGTTTGGCTGTATGTCCCATACTATCCCGTTTTCCGGTGATATAAACTGTAGAAGCTGGAACCAATGTGCCTATGGTACATGGTTTATAGCTGATAAATTGAGCTGATTGAAATGGGGGACCAGCTACACGAAGAGTACGATTGTGAAACGAAGCGATCCGAAGGTCCCCATCCAGGAAGACGGCAGTGACCAGCGCAGCTGAGTTTGCTGGTAATGGCTTCCATACTTCGCTGCCAAGTCATTGTTTGACCGCCTCTGGCTCTCTTCCACCCTTCACATAGTTGGGCGAAAAGAGCCCTTCGAGGAAGTCGGTCGACTGGCATACGCAGCAGATCAAATCAATTTATCAGCTATAAACCATGTACCATAGACACACTGGTTTTAGCTGCTACAGCTTCGATCACCAGAAAACGAGAGTGTGAGACATACGGACAAAACTTGGAGGCGATAACGCGTTCAGTTGGTTCGGGAATTGGGTAGCCACGCATTGAAGGTGACAGCTCTGATGCACGAGCAAGCCACGCATGGTGACAGCTCTGATGCACGAGCATCATCATCATCACTGTCAGCTGTAAGAACCGCGTACTGGTCGTACACTGGTTGTAGGTAGCACAGTTTCGTTCACCGATGATTGGGGGGTAGGTAGCC